AACTCCTGACCTCAGGTGATCCGCCCGCCTTGGCCTCCAAAGTGCTTGGATTACAGGCGTGAGCCACCACGCCCGGCCTGTCTTACTTTTGCCTGAGTTGTCCTGCCTTTCCAGACCGAATGTTCATCTTCCATATGCTGACTGATGTCCCCTGTGTCCTTAAAATGTATAAAACCACACTATGCTCTGACCGCCTTGGGGACATGTCATGAGGACAGCCTGAGACTGTGTTACAGGCACCTGTCCTCAACCTTGGCAAATAAACTTTCTAAATTAACTGAGACCTGTCTCAAATATGTGGGGCTCACATAGGTAAACAAAAAACTGCAACCTGAACTGAGAATATGCCCTGGTCATAAGCAGCCCAGCCTCGGCTACTCACAGCAGCGGAGGTCTTGGCTCTTCACAGCTCACAAGCTGCCAAAACATGTTCAGCTAAGGAAACTGCAGGGCTGCAACCAACAGGCTATTTCTGCATGAAACGTACATTTTCTGGCTCTAAATATTCCCCACCCACTTGTGGAGCAGCGATCTCTGAAGCACTTTTGGTTCTCAGTGCTACCTGGTTCACGAATCTTTTTTCTGTTCAACTAAACTCTGTCAAATTTAGTCTTAAGGCTTTTCTCTTTAACAGTATACAAAATCACACATCGCATTGTACTACAAAATGTAATTCACTGCGATTTATAAATTTACAATAGTCTGGTTTTTTTTTGAGACAGAGACAGCTCTGTCACCCAGGCTGAAGTGCAGTGGCACCACCCGGGTTCACTGTAACCTCAAACTCCGGGGCTCAAGCAATCCTCCCACCTCAGCCTCCTAGGTAGCTGGAAGCACAAGTGCATGCCACCATGCCGAGCGAATTGTTTTTTAATTATTGTAGAGATGGGGGTCTCACTGTATCACCCAGGCTGGTCTCGAACTCCTGGTCTCAGTGGCTCCTCCTGTGTGATCCTCCCACCTCAACCTCCAGAAGAACTGGGATTACAGGTGAGAGCCACCACACCTGGCCCAAAAGTAGTATATCATTTCTTCTAAAACACTAGATGATTTTTTTTCAGCTTTTATTTTAGAATCAGAGGGTACCTGTGCAGGTGAGTTACAAAGGTACACTGTGTGAAACTGAGGTGTGGGGTATGCCTGAACCCGTCAAGGGGATGTTTTGGTTGTCAGCTACCTGAAAAAAAAGGATCCTTTCCAATCAACAGCTGCAGCACTATTTTAAAAAATGAAAATGTAACAATAAGGGTTAAACAAATTTTGACAAATTTATAAAATGGAATACTACGGTGACATTAAAATATTTTAGACTGTTTAATCAAGGTAGGGAAAATGCATACTTTACTGTGTAAAAAAAAGAAATTACAGAGAAATCTTTTTTTCTTTTTTTTTGAGATGGAGTCTCACTCTTGCCAGGCTGGAGTGCACGGGTGTGATCTTGAATCACTGCAAGCTCCACCTCCCGGGTTCAAGCGATTCTCCTGCCTCAGCCTCCCGAGTAGCTGGGATTACAGGCAAATGCCACCATACTGGGCTAATTTTTTATTCTTTGTAGATATGGGGTCTCACTATGTTGCCTAGGCTGGTCTGGAACTCCTGGGCTCAAGCGATCATCCTGCCTCAGCCTCCCAAAGTGTTGGGATTACAGGCGTGAGCCACCACACACAGCCAAGAAATCATATTGTATGAACCCAACTTTATGAAATATAAATATAAACTACTCACACATACTGGTGGGGGGGGAAGAACTGAGAGGAAATATAGCAAAAATGCCACTAATGGGTAATTCTCGAAGGGATTACAAGTCATTTTTTACCTTTTTTTCTTGATATGTCTTTTAATTTCCAAATTTCCTCTAATTTAATATGTAACTTTAAAATAAGCAGTAATTCATTTAGAGAATAGATTTAACATCTATTCTCTAATTGCTTTTGTTGGCAATAGTGTTCTTATTAAAAGTTCAAAAAAGTCAATAAATCAGGGATAAAAGGAAGTGTTCAAATCTTTTCTCTTAATTATTATTATTATTTTTTTTTGAGATGGAGTTTCGCTCTTGTTGCCCAGGCTGGGGTGCAGCGGCACAATCTCGGCTCACCGCAACCTCTGCCTCCCGCATTCAAGCGATTCTCCTGCCTCAGCCTCCTGAGAAGCTGGGATTATAGGCATGCACCACCACGCCCGGCTAGTTTTGTATTTTTAGTAGAGACAGGGTTTCTCCATGTTGGTCAGGCTGGTCTCGAACTCCCGGCCTCAGGTGATCCACCCCCCTCAGTCTCCCAAAGTGCTGGGATTATAGGTGTGAGCCACCACGCCCTGCCAACTCTTTTACAAAATGTGAAGGAAGGGAGAACATCTGAAGCTGGGAAACAACGAAATATAAGTGAAATATACTCTTAAATTCATGTTGAATGGTTGAGATAGCAACCACCTCTTTTTCTTAGTAAATATTGACTTTCAATAGTTATCAGCAGTTGCTCCTCTTAGAAGGCCGGGCCTAGAATGACTCATCTGAAATGATGACAGCAGACAATTCCATCAGCAAGAAAGAGGGTTTTGAGTTCATCACTGAGGGAAAGCTGATAAGAGCAGAAAAGTTCCAGTCTGTATTTTCCAAGCTGCTGCCCTCCACTTCACCAAGACCTCCCAGATACTTCACTAGGATCTAACAGTAAAACCTCATGGAGCAGATCATTTGAGCAGGCCAGGTCCCAGGATGAAACAGAAAATGCAGCAGTGTCTCAGGACAGATCACTCTGGGGAGACAGGCAGGTGGGGCCGCCAGGAAAGGAAAGTGAAGCTTGAAGGTCTAAGGAGAATGGGGAAGGCAGGGTGAGCAGAGAGAATGCAGCTGAAGTTAGCAGGCACGCTAAGCCAGAGAAAGCAGCGTGAGTGGACCCCAAGGAAGGGAATTTCCAAACTGAACCCGTGACTCAAAAAATTGACCCACAAATACTAAACTAATTTAGCTCCCACTCTACCTGATTTTTTTTTTTTCTTGTACACGTTCTCTCATGATCTTCCCAAAATGTTATTCTTAAGCTGCAGGGAGAGGTGAGCAATGGAAGGAACTGGCCGAGGCCCACCACCAGAGTAGCCCCAGGATCAATCAGGGGCCTCAGAGAAGCCCCGGAAAAGCCAGGAATGTACTGCAGATAATCTGGGGAGAAGCCGGCCGTGGTGGCTCACGCCTGTAATCCCAGCACTTTGGGAGGCACAGATGGATGGATCACAAGGTCAGGAGTTTGAGACTAGCCTGACTAACATGGTGAAACCCTGTCTCTACTAAAAATACAAAAATGGTGGCGGGTGCCTGTAATCCCAGCTACTCAGGAGGCTGAGGCAGGAGAATCTCTTGAACCCAGGAGGCAGAGGTTACAGTGAGCTGAGATCGTGCCACTGCACTTCAGCCTGGGTGACAGAGCAAGACTCTATCTCAAAAACAAAAAAGAAAAAAAAGAAAGAAAGAAAACCTGGGGAGGGTGCAGCGTTCCACTCAACACTAGACTCTGTCAGGAAAGCCAACTCCGACATTAAATGCCCTAAAAGGAACAACGAACTTGCCAGGAACATGATCCAAGCAGTCTGAGCGTCTTCCGACCCAACCCATCATGGCACCCACAATTGGAGACCACAGTCTCAACGATGTGTTCACGTTATTTTGCATTTCTTCAGTAATCATAACATGCGGGTTAGAAGACATGGATTAGAACACTTCGGATGAAAAGCCAAGTAATTGGGAAATTTTGGGACTACTCCCTCAAAAAAAAAAAAAAAAAAAAAAAAAAAAACAGCTCGTGGAAGACCTAGGACTTGGCTTCTTCGAGACTGCGTTTATGTGAAGCACTTTCCCCTTTGTAAGCCCATTTGTGTAAAAGTGTCAAAACTGTGCAACACATTTTTTGACAGTTCAAAAGAAAACCCCCACAAACGCTTTATGTCGCTGGTTCTTTGATAAATCAAGATGGAGCCGTACACCTGTGTCACTCTCCCTCCCGTTTGGTTCCCGTGAACAAACACGTCAGATACCCTGGTTCGCTCTCCACCCGACTCTCTGCAATACCATACCAGAAAGAAACTTCAGACGAAATGTTTTTCAACATTTGCCTTGTTTTCTAGAACAATTTTAAAGTATAAATTATAACTAAATAAGGTAAACACCTTGTTTGTACTTATTTAGTTATAATTTATACTTTAAAATTATTTGTACTTGCTTTAATTTTCAAACACCTTGAACCCCGATTTTCAGGAGTCTCAATATGGAGTTTTACGTTTAAACGTCTAAATTTAGCTTTCTTCCAAGGAAAAGCGGGGAAGAAGGGAGGTTAAGACGAAAATACTCCGATTCGCAGAGTTTAACAATATCCTTCCAATTTCCCAATACCAATGCCCACTGACCCAGACATTCCACTTCTAGGAATTTTCCACCAATATATTTGTGTGAACGTATACAGAAAACGGTATTCATTGTCGTATCTATGCTAGTAGACACTCGAAACAACCTAAATCTCCGTTCACTGTTTAAACAAGGTACTTCCCATACTATGCTTCAGGTTTTTTTAATGCCATGAACACACCTACCTGTCCTGCCATGAAAAGATGTCCTTAATACACTCAGTGCACAGAACAAGTTCGAAACGATTTTGAAGACTTGTACATAGAAGCGTTTCTGATAGGAACAAACAAAAATGAGACTGAGTGGAAGATGGGGAGACACGTTTGTCTGCCTTGTTTGGATTTTTTTTACAAGTTTGTAACACTTCTGTCATTTCTTTTTCTTTTTTTTTTTTTCAATTAAACGGAAAGTCATGCCCAAAGCCCAAATAACTATATCAGCCCAGAAAAGCATTCGCTGGCCCAATATATGCCCGTATAAATACAGATCACTACCGTGATTTGCAGAGCACGATCATCCATCAGTCCCTTAACTATCTGGCTGGCACAGGAGCAGAGCGGGATGTCTGTGTTGAAAAGAAAGCTTCCCAGAGGAGCCCCAAACTTGCCTCCAGCGCCACGCAGGCGTCCAGCCTCTGCTGCCGCGCTCCTCGCCGGACTGCGCCGGGGACCGAGCTGCTGCCGCCGTTCCGCGCCGCGCCGCCTCCGCCTGGCCCGCGCCCGGCTGCGCCCCGCCCAGCTTTCGTTTTCCTCTGAATGGAAAGCGAAACTTAGCGGGGCCTCCGCGCCCGGAGCGGGGCGCCCGCGTGCTGGGAAACCCCGCCGGCCGCAGCCGCGCGCCTACCTGCTGGGGACATCAGGCTCGCAGACCGGCAGGGCTTGCAAACGCTGCCCTTTGCCCACGTGTCAGAACACACGCGCCTTTTTTTTTTTTTTTTTTTTTTTTTTTTAGACAAAGCCTCCGTGGTCCAAGCTGGAGTGCAGTGACGCAGGGGCGCGATCTCGCCTCACTGCAACCTCCGTCTCCGGGGTTCAAGTGACTCTCCTGCCTCAGCCTCCCAGGCAGCAGGGATCACAGACGTGCCCCACCACGCCAGGCTAATTTTTGTATTTTAGTAGAGACAGGGTTTCGCCGTGTTGGCCAGGCTGGTCTAGAACCCCTGACCTCAGGTGATCCGCCCGCCTCAGCCTCCCAAAATGTTAGGATTACAGGTGTGAGCCACAGCACGCACCTACATGCGTCTTTTTATTTGCGATTTTCAGGTCCCTGCAATTAACATGCGTTTTAGAATCATCTGGCATTTGGTAATATCCACTGCAGCATTTTTTTTTTTTCTTAATGCTTTCGTATTTCTTGGATCGTGTATCTTCACATCACCGGCCTGTGGCTTGGATGACATGCGGCACGTGTTATAATTATGAGCTCCTCTGTAGGCATGCAGATGCAGATATTCCTCCGCTTAAGCTGGGGTTAGGCCAAGTGCGGTGGCTCACGTCTGTAATCGCAGCACTTTCAGATCACCTGAGGTCAGGAGTTCGAGACCAGCCTGGCCAACATGGTGAAACCCCATCTCTACTAAAAGTACAAAAATTAGCCAGGCGTGGTGCTGTGTACCTGTAATCCCAGTTCCTCGGGGGACTGAGGCAGCAGAATCGCTTGAACCCAGGAGGCAGAGGTTGCAGTGAGCCGAGATCGCACCACGGCACCCCAGCCTGTACAACAACAGGAGCGAGACTCCGTCTCAAAAAAAAAAAAAAAAAAAGACGGGGTCAGGCCCCAGTCGAAACGTCATAAGTGAAGCCATAAGTAAGGGAGGGACCATCTGTATATATAAGGTTAAAAGAGCTATACCATGGGCACCAGAAAGGCTTATTACCTCTTTAGAGATGTATTTCTTGTATGCAGACTCATGGGGGTGGGGGCAGAGGGGTTATCTGCCAGGGGCCTCAAACTCCAGCGCTGGAATTTGCACAGGAAAGCAGGATACAATCCCCCCAAAGCGATCTGCCTTTCTCAAAGCTGTCCCCCCAGCAAGGGACAAAATAGGGAGGCTCTAAAAACCCAAAGCTGCCAGGACCTCACTGAGGCACTGGTAGGGTCTGTAGTAAGGTACAGAATACCATGGCACGAAGATGTATAAACGTCCTCGTAACGGGGACGTGTGTTAGAAGCATGAACACAGACATATATTTACAGGCTATCCACACGTCCATCATAAGCCCAGAATCCCCTTAGATTGCTGCTGGAACGGAGGCAGTGTCGTACACAGCACAGCATTTGTCTCCGGAACGCTGGTGGACTGCGAGCAACATGGTGTTTACACAGGTACATGGTACTGAGCTCGGAGTCTGTCCTCATTATATATGTTGACCAATCGGTTACATGACCAGCTTCAAACATCTGGTAAGCCTCGTCCACAAACAGGAACCTCAGAAACTCAAGTGAGGGCGGTGAGGAGAGGATGCTGCAAAATTTGATGAAATATGCTAAATATATCGAGTCAGTAGAAGGCTAAGGACCAAACTGTATTTGCTTGTAGCAACTATCAGCAGAAAACTATTAATAGTTGATCCAGTGATTCTGTCTGAATCTTGGTAGGTCAGTGGAGCAAAGTACTTGCTGTTGCTGCCCCAGTGCAGAATGGACAAGGGTGACCCTTGGGGTGGAGGCTGGACTATATAATGTAAGGATCCATTACACTTCCATGGGGCTCTTCCATCCTTCATGGCACCTTCCTGAACAATTCCACGCTAAGGCCATCAGGTGTGTCAAGCAAATTGGGCATCTGTGTAGCATGTTCCACAGTGGCCCAAGCAGGGTGCTGGCCCAGAGCAGGATGAGGAGGGTGGCGGCACAGGGAGGCTGCCCAGCACTGGTGCAGCCTGCCCGGGTGTCAGATCCCAAGCAGTTGGAGGATGCGGCACGTCCCTGTGGCGGAGTGGCCCCGCGTGTGGGGTCGGGCGCGGAGGCAGGAGCTGGCGAGATGACAGATTAGTTACATACAGGGAGTTGACCAGGTAACTGCATGTATTAAGGATAATTGGAGCCAGTGTTGAAACTGTCAGAGTTAGGAGTTACAGATAAGGAACGGGAGAACGCGCCCACCGGTGTTGAACTGGAATCGGACTTCGCAGGGTGGATCTTTGATTTTCAGTATGTGCACACAGACAAAGAAGGACATGTGGGGGTCAACGTGTGTATACACGCATGCATTACATCCATACATCCCCTGACTCGGTCTGGAGGGGGCCTGGGAACAGTGACACCCCAATCTGGCACCCAGATTTTGGTTTCTAATTCCCATTCTTTAATAAAAGGAACCAATGTTGCTTAGAGAAATGGCTGTTTCCGGGGTTATGGCAGAGAAAGTACAAGATGAGCGTAGGACATCTTGCTCTGTCAGAAAGTAAGGAAATGCTCAAAGAATGATGGGGATGTTTCAAAACAATACAGAAGCCAACTCCGAGACCATGCTCCCACTGGCCAAATTCGGAAGAACTTGAGCAGCAAAAGGAATGATAGTAATATTTCAACCCTTTAAATAAAACAGGAAGCCATGCTTCATACCAATAAAAGTAGATATGAATAAATTAAAATTTTGGTGAGGAATAGGATATTTACAGTTTCAAAGTACCTTCCCACAAAGTGCATATTATTAATTACCAATAATATTACATACATGTGATACCAACCAGGCTCGTTCTGCCCACATGCAATCATCAATCACTGTGACAGGTTTTGCAAAAGAGAAGAGTTATTCACAAGGCAGTCCAGTAAGGAGGCAAGAGAATAGCTCTCAAACCTGCCTCCCCGGCTGGGCACAATAGCTCACGCCTGTAATCCCAGCACTTTGGGAGGCTGAGGTAGGTGGATCATGACGTCAGGAGTTCGAGACCAGCCTGACCAATATGGTGAAACCCCATCTCTACTAAAAATACAAAAATTAGCTGGGCATAGTGGTGCAAGCCTGTAGTCCCAGCTACTCAGGAGGCTGAGGCATAAGAATCGCTTGAACCTGGGAGGTGGAGGTTGCCGTGAGCCAAGATCACACCATTGCACTCCAGCCTGGCAACAAAACGGGACTGTGTCTCAAAAAAAAAAAAAAA